GGTGTCTCTTGCGTTCCAAATCAATACTATTGGGTTACCTTGCAATACTTTTTGTGTCCCCTTGCAAAACTGTTTATTACTGTTGTGCCTGCAGGTTCATCAACAAATTCACATGCTCCCCATTATTCAGGAGTTAGCCTACTGGTTTATTCAGCTTTGGATTAAATGCATCACAGACACGCACAAAGATATTTAATATGCAGATATTTTAAATCAGTGCAGCCACAAAATATAACCCTCGAGTTCCGAACTTGTGGCAACACATCCTGTTATGTTTAGTTTAAAATAAAAGTCTGATTTAATTCAGTTTATACAATACAAACTTCTTCTTCTTGTGTTCAGCGTGAGAACACAAAACAATATTGAACACTGAGGGAATGTGAATGTTTGTGAGGTAACACAAAAAGTATCGCACAACACAGATGTTTGAACACATCTGAATCTCGGTGCACTGGACATGTTTCTGTTGAACTCATTTGTACTTGTCTTGTTTGGTTAATGACACATCTACAGTTTGTTTTATGATCAATCCTAAAGCACATTAAATGTAATGTCAGGGCTGTAATCCTGTCTGTCATCAGTCTCTTACTGTGTTCAACGTTCTGCACTTTTACCAGTCATCATGTCAGGGTTACTTTGTTATATCAAGCTCCTTTTCCATGATTATTACACTGTATGATGTTTGTTTACACTTGTTTGTTTGTTGGTGTTTTATGAAACTGTAATTGAAGGTGRAATGAAAGTTTTCTGTTTGTTGTGGGGTGTGTTTGTTTATTTATTGTTTAGCAGCTTTATTTGTGTGATCAAGGAAATGATGAGCTGATTGTTGTTTGGGATGTTTAAAATGTTTGGAGGACCAAAACAGACATAATTAGAAATAAAAGCAGAAATATAAAAAAGGACCAATAAATACATAAATATATTTTAAAATGCACCAATTATTTTAAAAAGGAGAATTTTCCTTCATGTTTAATAATTTAATAATATCTATTTTTTGTTTTTCCTTTTACTCATAGATGCATTTGTGTCCCCTAAATGTATTTATTTAAATTTTAATTGTTTTTCCCACTAAATCTTTTTATTTCCATTCAGTGTTTTTACATATTTCTGTTTTTCAAAACAGTAATATTTAAATTATGTGATAAATTATATCATTTGTTGGAACTAAGCTGGAAAAATAAATATGAAGGGCAATTTCAAGTATTTATTTATTTATTTATTTATTTATTGGGCCATTTACATACGTTTGCTTTAGTTTTTAGTTATGTCAGTTTTTGTCCTCCATATAAAAGAGCATGTGATTGTTTTAAACATTTTGTGGTTTAAATAATTTGTTTTATTTTTATGTTTGAAGACATATAAATTGATAATGTGCTGAACCACTGTTAAAACCTAAGATCAACAGCAAATGCATGAATCCTTAACATGTATTGTTATTAAATAAAAGCTGACCGGATGTGACCCAGCAGCTTGTAGAAGCTTGTTCAGCAGCAGACCTCTGTAGTGGTTTCCTGTGGTTGTGGAGGAGTCTGTGTTGTTTCAGTTCTCTGAGGTTTACAGACACAGGTTTCTGCTCAGCTTCATTCTTTTCTGTTTCAGCTCCTCTGTGTTTGGGCTCATTGTTCTGTTGCATGACCCAATTTGAACCAAACTTAATCTATCGGGCCTCACATTTGAGGGTACTTCATTTATTTATTTATGGGAACAGTGCACGTTAATCAGCACACGTAAATGTGCTCTGTTGCTACATTTCATCTGTTATCCCAGGCAGATACAAAGAAGAAAATCTGAAGTCATGGACATGTGCACAAAAAAAATAATTTAGCAACTGATAAAAGAATCCATAAAAACACACAAATTACTGTTAAAATGGGCTTATTTTGTGAGTGAGTACTGTTGGTGAAATTTAGATCTGAAACATTCTGCTTCCATACAGGATGTTAAAGCTGTTGATTTGTGTTTGTTTATTTCCTTTAAATGTTGTATGGCTTGTGCTCAGGAATGAGTGAAGACACAGATGTGGAGCTTTAAGTCAAATTCACACTCCCTCCGAACTGCTGAGGTTGGCCTGATTGTTGCAGTTTCATGACGAAAATTACATCACAGGTGTTCTCAGTGTCGAGTCGGCTATCCCTTTGGGCACAACCCAACGACAGAACTTTTTACCCCCTCCCGCTACGAAGGTAATGTATGGTAAATGGTAAATGGATTGTACTTATATATAGGGGCGGAGCCAGGGGGTGGCCAGGGGTGGCCAGGGCCACCACAGACAAATCTTTGGCCACCCTGCTGTACACAGCCCTCACACAGTAAAACAACCTTCAGGGGTGTAATAATCCTCCTGAACAGTTGGTGGCAGTGTTTAACAGTGTAAAACATCACCAAGCTCAAAGAAGTGATGGTTTTCTTTATATACAGAACATCTGCCTGTAATCTGACTTATTGAGACACATTTTTATTTTATTTTTTGTCACCATAACAGTGTCATTTTATGTTATGAAGGTTGCATGATGCTCTGTGTAGACCTGTCACTGAATCAGAAACATTAAACACTCCTCTAAATTCACTGTTGGTGATTATCAGTATTGCACCTGTTCATTGGGTAAAATTA